TAAGTGGATTGACCAGAGCAGTAAGGTATATAAAATAATTGTGAGGGATAAGGATTACAACTGTGACAGCTGCTTAGATTATGGAGTATTTTAAGGCTCTTAAAAGCAAAGCAGAGTCATTTGGCATGTCTCTGATCATACCATGTTACTCCTCTTTATTTATAAAATTAGAACTTACTCATGTGGCTTGGTCTTTTTTATGACTCTCCATGATCTGGCATTACATACTTTCATCCTTAACTGTGAAAAGCAAAGGAGAGGTACAAATAGCATACAAAGAATGAAATTTCTGAAAATGTATGCAACTGCATACAAATGCTGATTATGCAGACTACTAAATTTCTCATCCCATCATTTGCAGATCACTGCTAATCTGATATGTGCCTAAATATGCTTTATTTCATCATTGAACTTGTGCCCCGTTACCAGCTTTACTAGATTTGCTAAATTTCACTAGATGTGTAAATTTACAGTCCTACCAAATATATATGATAGCAGGTCCTGTTTAAGTCTCATTTGTACTTGGGAATTGATAATGTAATTATCAGTTCATACTTTAATTTTTTTTAATTAGCAAAAGGATGTGAAATAATGTCTAATTGTATTTGCATTTTCTTCATTGTCTTTCAGCATTTATTCAAATATTTGACCATTGGCTTTCTCCCTTTTGTGATACCTTGCTTATCTTTTATCTGTTTTTTACTATTAGGTTGTTGATTACCCACTGGTAGGGTTTTTTTTTTTAAACTCTTGGGTGTTACTTTTCTGTAGGTTATGAAAAAGTGGGTATCTTTTCCCAGAATGGGTAAAACCAGAACCAGGGTCATATTCTCTCTTAAGAAGTTTTGGTAGCAGATAGTTCAACTGCTGAACCAGAATAACTGGATCCTTAGAAGGGAAATGTAGCCCTGGAAAGTGCCGAAGTAGCACCTTGTCAGGTTTATACATCAAGTTTTCTTCCAAAGTAGACGAGAAGTTTTAAAAAAATTTAACATTATCAAAGTTATTTACTCCTCCTCTAACTTACCTTGCAGATTTAAAAACTTCTTAACTCATCAAAAATGTGAATAACACTTAAAGTATTTGAGGTGGTGTGCTAGTCAGTGTGTCCTGGATTTTTTTTCCCAAGCCATAACATCGTCCTTTAAACAGTCCATTAAATGTGAGTTTTGCTTGTGATTCTTATTTGAATCTTGCCTTCGTATTTAAGAAATTTTCTCCAGTCTTTTTCTCTTTAAAAATATGAAAGGAAAAACTGTAGTAAGACAGAAATGCTAATAATAGATATTTCTCTTCATTAGCCACTTCTTCACGAGTTTACAGTGCTGCTGATTTCCTGGGCAGCAAGCAAACGGTCACCTAGCAACAGAGCTGGGACTGATCCTAGCTCTGATGCAACAGGACCAACCTGCAATTATAACAAAAGGAGTTCTGATACTATATTACATTTCTTTAGCCTCCTTTTTACAATTTTAGCTTTAATTTTACCATATGTGAGCAGAAAATAAGCTGTGAAAGAAATTTACTTTTGCTTCAGTGGTTTAAACTGGAAAATCAGAATGGTAGAAAGGAGCTCAGAAAAGTCACCTTTTACAGTGCTTATTCATGTTAATTGTGTTTTCCAAAACTAGCAAGTAAGTTATAGAACGTATTTATAATTTACTTATTTATAACTTATCTATAACTTACTCATTTATAACTTTATAAGTTATAGAACTTATTTATTTATAGTAGAGATATCTTGAATGTTAGAGGTCAGTTTTTCATTAGTAGTAACTATGGACCTATGGAAATAAATATACATGAAGTGCATTAATGTAGTATTTATTTTAAATATCAGACTGGTATGTTTTTTGTTTTTTTTTTAAAGATTTATTTATTTACTAATACAGAACCGGGGTACTGGTCAGAGCTGCGGAAGGTGAGAGGATTCACCAGAGACAGAGTGGGGAGCAGAACAGGCAGATCGACGAAGTACACTGCTGAGGGGAGCAGCGGGCAGGTCAGGAGAGGTCTGCCACGCCACATGCAGAAGTGGCTTAAGCTTCTTAGTGCTGTGCTTTAACCTGCTGCGCCACCAGGGAGGGACCTGGACTGGTATGTCTTAAAGTCAGAAATTTACTTTTTGTATGTAACTAAGGAAAGATTTTAAGGAATTCTTTTGTTTGATCTGCACAGTCATTGTTTAGTGGATTTAGTAAAATTCTGACTTTATACTGCCCTGTAGAATTTTCTGTTTTAACATGGTTTGTGTTTTGAGTTGACCAGCTTTTCTTCCAAAGTTACTTAATTTCTTTCCTGTAAAACCAATACCTGATAATTTGGCTAGGGATTGATGGGACTGAGAGATAATCATTAAATGAATATGCTGAAATCTGAAGGTTCTATTTGGATACAATGAGGTTGATAAATCAAGAAGGAACCTTAATTAATCTCAGTAATTTTTGTCTGTAGGTACACTTAGACATTTAAAGAGTTATAGGAGATGCTTGAGTTTGTAATAAAGTCATTCATCTTCAGATACCCTTTTTTTTTTTTTTAATTTGAATTACTGTTTGAGTTTGTAAAATGTGGGAGACGTCAGTCACTTTCTGGCCCTCGACTTTAGTCCAGAAGTACCACTATCTCCACCTTGAATGTTCCGATTGTCATAGGCAACATAAAGATGTAGTTAGCTTAAATGTATGATAGGCTGTCACAAAACACCTCTCAGCAGGCAGAAACTGATGAGGAAATTACCAGCAGCTAGGAAATTAGAGAACCTTATCCAAGGAATTGTCACTCTTCCTTTAGTGCTAGGAACAGTCCATTCAGTATACACTTGAAAACAGAGAAAGAACCCTTACTCTGTGGTATTTAAGAAAACAGGGAACCCAGCGCTATGGCTCATCACACTGAGTAAGTCTGGAAACAGATTCTTCCTAGATCCTCAAGTGAGATGACGCTTGATCACAGCTTTGTGGGACCTGAGCAAAGGAAACACCTGAGCCTTTTTAAACTTTTAGTTAAAAAAAAAACTGAGATAATAAAGCTGTTTTAATTCCCAACAGAAAACTAATATACCTACAGACTGTCTTGAGTTAGAGTTACAAGAAAGTAGAGGAAGACAGTATGTAATTTCTCCTTCATGTCAGGAGACTCCATTCCTGTTCCTCAAGCCAGGAGTGAAGAACTTTGCCCAGAAGTCTGGCTCTGGCCTAGGTGGCCACTTTTGGGTTTGGGATGTACTATATTCAGGCTTGGAGATTTGAAAGGAGAAAAGTAGCAAACTCACCACCAGTTCTGTCACCTTCCCTAATGCATGTACTACTGTTCACTTTTTAGTGTCCTCAGGTAGCCAGCTGCCCCATTCTGTCCTGGTTTTATAGCTGCATTCATCGGAAAGACAGGATAGAATGTGGTTATTTAAACTTATTCTGAAACTAAACTTCTTTTACTTTAAAGAGAGTCTTTACTCTTTGAGTCGAAAAGTGGCAATCTTTAGTAATAATGTCTGCTGATACTTTAGTGTATTATTTTTCCAGATTTTTTCCCCTAAGAATTTGAGAGTATTTTGTTGTTCTTGTTAAGCGACTATAGGGTAATAGATTGTAGATATTGATTTTCTCCACTTTAGGTGTTACGAATATTTTCCATGTTAATAGATACGGAGTGATGAACTTCCCTTTTTAATTTAGAATGTTCATATTAAAAGAGGAGCAGCTACCAGTTAAATACTGTATTTGCAAAGGCCCTCTTAATAAGCAGATTGGGTAACATAAGCTGACATTTATCTTCTAACAGTTCTGAGAACTAGAAGTTTGAGGTAAAGGTATCAACGGAATTGGTGTCTTCTGAGACTGCTCTCTTTGGCTTCTTATATAGCTCCTTCTCCTCTGTCTTCTCGTTTGTGTTGGCTTCCATGACAAAATACTACAGATTGGGCAGCTTAAACAACAGAAATTAATTTTCTCACAGTTTTAGAAACTAGAATGCCCAAGATCAATATGATGACCAATTCATTGCCTGAGGGCAGATCACCCTGTTGACTGCCTTTTCACTGCATCTGAATAGAGATCTCTGGTGTTTCCCTCTCCTCTGTTAGAGTACCAGCTCTATTAGATTAGGCCCCCACTCATATGACTTCATTTAACCTTTATCACATCCTCACAGACTCTCTGTCCAAATACAGTTACATTGAGGCTTTGGACTTGGGGTAACAGGATGGGAAGGGAATTGGACATTTAGTCTATAACATATGGTCTTCCCTCTGTACCTGTGTTCTAATTCCCTCTTCTTATAAGAATGCCAGTGCTATTAGATTAGGTCCCACAGTAATAACCTGATTTTAACTTAATTATCCAGCGTTACTAGGAGTTATTAGGGCTTCAGCATAGGAATTTTGAAGGATGAAATTTAGCCTGTGATAGGAAGGGACTACTATTTTTTCCACTAAGGATAAGGAAGCTGAGATTCAAAGACTTCAAGTAATTTAGCCATGATCATGCCACAGGTGCGGTAGAGCCAGGACTCCAATCTAATGGCTCCAGAATATGCTCTCTTAACCACCTGGCCATATTCCAGCTCCCAGTTCCCTCCTTGTCTCTGCAGTTATCGGGATATATTGTATATTTAATTCTATGTTGGGCACGTGGGATTTCTCTTTTCACCCTTTTGAGTGCTGCATTAGATTTGCTTTTAGTAGTATTGCTGCACACCTCTGCAAAAACTGCTGTAGTATAATGCCTAGTAATCAGTATATTTACAGAAATCATTACATTTATTTATTTTTCCATAATACCCTGTAAAAATATCTATTTACTCTCCCAGCAGTGGTGAGTCTGGTAAGGTGTAGAAAGGAGCAGAGGAAGTAGTACTTGCTGGTATAGGCTATAGATGATTGGATTTGGGTACAGGTTGGGACCATCTCAGTTAAACAAAGACCACTGTTTCATGGGGTGAAAAATCCTACGAAGTGATGTATCTTCTTCAATTCATGATTCTTTTTCTTTTTTTTCCAGAATTTTGATTCTGATATTAGCAGTGTGGGAATAGATGGCTCTTGGCAGACAGACAGCCAAAGACTTCTCAATGAGGTGATGGTGGAACACTTCTTTCGACAAGGAATGTTGGATGTAGCTGAGGAGCTCTGCCAGGTAACATTGTGCCAACTATGAGAAGCTGAAGCTGAAACAGGGAATTCCTTGGAGTTTTGAGTTTCTGCAAGGCATAGATGATTTTTATTATTTTAATTATCAGGCTAACCTCATTTTACTGGGAAAGCTTTTTAAAAAATTAGGTGAACATTATATTCCTAGCACTTATTCTTTCAATTATTATTTTTTACTCCTGTCCCAGATTTTTGTCCCATATCATAACTAAGGGGTTAGAAATGATACTGCTTTCTGTTTCCTGTTTTCATAAGGAAAGCTAATATAGCAGAGAAGAATAGGACAAAAAGTTTCTTCTGTTCTGGCTCAGCTTATAATTATGCTTATCACATGAATTTTGAGCTAAAATTTACTTCAGGTAAACGGCCTTCTGTCTTGTATTTCTATTAGACATAAGCTTAAGCATCTCAGAACATTTAACACATAGTTCTAATGGTAGCAGTTGCCATGATTGTTTACCACAAATTCTGTCTTTATCCCTCACCACAACCTTGTAAGGTAGAAATCATCACTTCCATTGTGTAAATGATGAATTTGCATTTGGAGAAGTAACTTCCAAGGCCATGAAGATTCTTAGTGAATGTGATTCCAAATTTGTATGTCTTCAAACTCTGTTGTAAGCTACAATGTACTATTTTTTTCTTTTAGAGCGATAAACTATAGGATTAAATGATTTAAAGTGAGTCTGTAAGCCAAACCTCTAATCCAAGTCTTTTTTAAACAATTCAGATAAACAGTAACTCAGATCTTTCTCTGTACCTAATCTCTAAGGTGTATCTTATGGTCTAGGGTAGGAACCCAGAACTTAGCTGCATCTTTATGTGTTACATAAAGTGTGTTACATATTAGGGGCAAAGAGTGCATATTTCATTGGTGAGAACTGGTATCTCACAAAGTCCAGCCTGACTGCATATGCTTCTCGAGCTCATTTGGAGGGGGAGGACTTACTATTCTGGAAAAGAGAGAAAAATGGTGTTGAGGCCCAGGAATCACTCTCTGCCGTAGCAATACATGTTAAAAAGAAATTACCTTTGATATTCTAGATTTCATAATTTAGAAATACTTCTATTTCTCTTTAGTCTTTACTTGTTCTCTTTGCTCTGATTACTACTAACAAAAGTTCTCTCTGTTGTTGTTTTCTTTCAGGAATCTGGTCTATCTGTAGACCCAAGTCAGAAAGAACCATTTGTGGAGTTAAATCGAATATTAGAAGCATTAAAAGTCAGAGTTCTGAGACCTGCTCTGGAGTGAGTTACTGTGGTTTTTTTGACTAATTTGAGAGAACTCTGTAAGAAAACACATTAGAGATTTTGAGAGAATCTGTATCTCACCTGGGAATAGCCCTCAGAGAAAGAAATCAAGGGAAAATTATTTTATTTCTTTTAGCTCAGTGAATTTGGGGAATGTGCAATATGAGAAAATGGTTAGAGCTTACTTCACTTATCAGTGGGTCTTAATTCCCCAGAAAGAAAAGGTTTCCTTTTACAGCTCTCTAAGCACTCAAGGCTTTTCTTTTAGAATGTAGAAAATTCCCAAGATTTCTTTTTTTACTTTTGCTTTATCTATAAGATCTCAACTTCTTGTAGACAATAGTATCATCCATATCAATTAGTGCTGTAAATATTTTTTGTTATTTGTAGCCTCAAGCAAAGGAGGACTTAATCTATCCACTTGGTAGTAACAATGGAAAGTAGTATACAGTAAAAATGTCCTCTTCATTTTTCTGGGAATGTTTCCATGTTAAATATCAGCATAGGGGAATGTAGTGGTAATTATAGTTAATCTCTCTTAAGTGTATATTATGTGTCTAGTATTGTAAGCATTTTACATGTATTAACTTATTCAGCCCTCAAGGGGGAAATATCTTTAAGTTATGTGGCATTTTCTTTTTTTTTTTTAATTTATTTATTTATGCATACAGAACTGGGGTACAAGCCAGAGGTTCAAGGGCAGTGAGAGGCTTCACCAGAGACAGAGTGGGGAGCAGAACAGGCAGAATGGTGAAGTACATTGCTGAGAGGAACAGCGGGCAGGTCTGGAGAGGTCTGCTGCGCCGTGTGGATTACCTCTGGGACTGGGGATCTAACTCACACTGAAGCGGCTGTGGCCAGCTTGCAGTGCTGCATCCTTACCTGTTTTGCCACCAGGGAGGGCCTGTGTGGCATTTTCTATTTGTGATGCTGGGAATAACCATCATGGAACCACCTATGAGAGAAAAGAGGAAAGTGAGACTGCAGCACTTCTTCCAGGAAATCTAGAATTTGGGGAAGCAGAAGACAACAACAACAAAAAAAAAAGCATAAAATTAACAAAAGCTATGGAAGGACTAGATGAGAAGAAAATCTGCAGATTGTTAGCTAGATTGCAAGTAAATGAGAGACAATGGAAAGAAGACAGAAAAGAATAGTGTCTTAACAAAAGCGGCAGAGAAACAAAACTAGTCAGGGCCTACCTTCTTATATGTTTCTGCTCTTTTATTTCTGAATTTGTATACAGATGTTTCTCCTCATTCAGGTTGCTTTATTTATTTTTTAAATTCCCGGTGGCCCCTGGTATTATGTATTCATAATAGGTATCAATAAATGAATAGTTTAAAAATAGTTTGAACATAACCTCCTCTTTCATGTAGCAGATAAAAGCAAAGCCAAAAGAATATCTTAATATAAAGACATGGAGAAATTCTAGGAAGATAGGAACTGTCTGTGTACAGTTACCGATATTTTGAAAGAAAATGGTATTGTTAGGGGGTGCCAGAGAATAATGTTACCTTGCTGCATACACCACAGTCTAGAATCTGACTTTGAACCTTGCAAATTTGAAACCTCATTTTTATCCAAACTAAGGGCCTCATAGTACTTCTTTAAAAGAATTTGAGGCCCTCCCTGGTGGCACACTGGGTTACAGCACAGCACTGAGAAGCTAAAGCCACTTCCGCATGAGTTCGATCCCCGCCTCCCCCGGAAGTGACCACATGACGCAGCAGACCTCTCCTGACCCACCCGCTGCTCCCCTCAGCAGTGTATTTCATAGATCTGCCTGTTCTGCTCCCTACTCTGTCTCTGGTGAATCCTCTCACCGCCCCTGCACCTCTGGCTTGTACTCCAGTTTTGTATGCATAAAGAAATAAAACTTTTTTTTTTAAAGATTTATTTATTTATGCATACAGAACTGGGTTACAGGCCAAAGCTGCGGAGGGTGAGAGACCCCACCAGAGACAGAGTGGGGAGCAGAACAGGTAGATCGATGAAGTACACTGCTGAGGGAAGCAGTGGCAGGAGAGGCCTGCCACGCCATGTGGTCACCTCCAGGGCAGGCGGGGATCGAACTCATGCGGAAGTGGTTTAGGCTTTAGGCTTCTTAGTGCTGTGCTTTAACCCGCTGTACCACCAGGGAGGGCCCAAGAAATAAATCATTTCTATAAAAAAAAAATTTGAATTCTTTTTTACAAAACCTTAGTAAAATGCCATAAGGCAACAGAAAATAACTTAATGGTATAAGAAAAAAAAGAGAGAAAAGTTACAGGCTTTTTCATAAAAGAAGAGAAAAAATACTACTTTAGACAGCAGAAGGGTGATAGACTGGATAGGCATGAGCAATAATATCATGCAGGCTTTGACTCCTTAGGTCTAGTGATGACATGGGTCTAGAAATAAAAGCCACAGAGGGATTTTAGATGACTGGCTATTGAGGGTTCTTGGTGGTGTTTGTTAGTGGTGATCCTAGGAGAAAATGCATGGAAGACTTTAGAGAAAGACCTTGAGAATAAGAATGGAGAAAGCAAGCCAAAGCACATAGTCATAGATACTTGGCTGCCACTGGAAATGAGGGTGACGGTGATAAAGCAGTTTTTGGTGTCTGTTTTCTTGTTCATGCTTTTGACTTGTACCTTGCCAAGTAGAACATGTTTTAATAATCACACAAGACCACAGAAAAAAATGGACTCAAGTTTTGAACAACTTGGATTTTTCTCAGTTTTTTGTTTCCTTTATTTTTTCTTTGGGGGTGGTGGTGATAAATATTTCTTATTTCCAAAAAAATAGAAGAGATGGGTTGGAGGGATAGATCTTTAACTCAGTCTGGTAGAGAAAGAGCTACACTATTCAAAAGAAATTGGAAGAAGGGCCCTCCTTGGTGGCACAGAGGGTTAAAGCACAGAATTATGAAGCTATCACAGCCATTGTAGCACGAGTTCAATCCCCAGCCGGAGAGGTAACCCACATGGTGTGACAGACCTCTTTGGACCTGCCCGCTACTCCCCTCATCAGTGTATTTCAGTCCATCTGCCTGTTCTGTTCCCTACTCTGTCTCTGGTGAATCTTCTCACGACCTCTGGCCTATACTCCAGTTCTTGTGTGCATAACTAAAATAAATCTTTAAAAAATAAGAAAATGGAAAGAGATGCCCAGTGGCAAGGACATTGAATAGAGATGATACTACAATGGAATATAAAGGCCAAAGGGAAAAGATATTTGAAGTGATGTCATTTTCTGTCTTCAGTTTTGTGTTTGTTGCCAGCAAATATATGTAATTTCTAGATAATAGTTATTCCTTAGGAGGAAGAATGGATATAACCATCTCTCATCTGGCTGCATTCTTACCAAGAACTTGAAAATAATTGGAAATGAGCAGACAAGCCACAGCTATCGAGAAATTTAGCATATTCTTTTTAAAAGGGGGATAATTGAAATAAACTCTTCCTGAGATTTAAGAATAAGGAGTTAAATAGGCTGGGGAGGGTGGACTAAGAAGACAGACTCTGGAATTTGTACTTACAAAATACAATCTGTTATTAATTTAGGCATATAAAACTAACTGATTTTATGGTAGAAAATGGCCATAAATAAGTCACCATATTTAAATACTTAATATAAAATCACTAATTTGTAGAATTGTGCTGTCCAATATGGTGGCCACTTGTCATATGTAGCTATTGGACATACCTGAGACGATCATGTAAAGTTAGAAGTATGTGTGAGTATGTTTCAGTTAGTAGTCAAACATGCATGCTGTAGTTTGTGTGGTTTTTAAGTAGCATACAGAAGAACAAAGACTCATGCCATCTTTGAAATGGACTCAATCTGTATCTGAGAATTTATGTTTTAAAAATATCCCTGAATTTAAATGTAGGCCCTCCTTTTCAATCTCTAAAGCAATTATGGTTCCTTACTTAATTTTGACTTTGAACTTTTTAAGATTTTAATTCAGTCACTAATAACATTTAGCTATGTTCACACCTATAGAGTAAATAACTCACTCATTTTCCTGAAATTTAGCTTCTACCCTCAAGAATGTATCTTTTCAGAAGACTAGAAAAAGATTGCTATAAGCCTTTAAAAATGTTCTGAACGTTTGTAGTGGAGTGTGATATGGGAATTGACAAGAGACATTTTTATTTCACTGTTACCAAAATAGACATCAACCCAGATTGGCAAAATTGTGAGAAGAGCGATATAAACAGTCTAATGCTGTCAGGTTCCTGGGGGAGAACAGCTAACTATTAAGGTGGAATCATGTTTTAATTATTTTTGGAATAATATAAGAATTCTAAATGTGGAGCTAATTGTGTGCCAAGTCTTTTCAGAGTCTTGACACTTAGGATGATTAATGTTTAATGTATCTGTGGAATAATTGTGTAGATACGGATTGCTTCTAACTTAGTCACCTAAGTGATTGGTATTATTTTGGGGGTCTCTTTGGAAAAGACCCACAAGGTTTCATTAGGAGATTGTGAACAGAATGACATTATGACCTTAGTAGGATGCATTTTTAAAACACTTTTTTGGTCTACAGTGTATTCTGTAAACAAGGAATAGTTCTGAAACTGACAGTGGTGGAAATTTGGAACACAATTTTATTATAAAATCACAGTGAATTTATTATTTAACTGTATCTTTTGGGTAGCTTGCTAGTTGTGGTACAGTGATACTTGGCTTTTTAAAAAATTGTCAACTTTCCCACTAAGATTAGTAAGACCTGAAAATAATCACAGCAAAATGAAGCCAGGATGAGAGTTAGTCCTACCTGAAGCTGTGGTACAGAGCATATTGGAAAAATCCAATTGATGTAAAAACCAAAGTAAAGTTGCCTTACCATCTTTTCATCTAAGTTGCTCTAGGAACAGAAAGCTGCTAATGGCACATTTGCTGCTACTTCTACTTTGGATTCAAGATTATAAGACAAAACCAACCAAAATGCCACCATTGGTTTGGCTGATATTCAAGTGAAAATGTTCAGTTCAAGTTGCTCC